ACTCAGAGACAGATGATCAGCCATTAGCATCTGAAAAGAGACATAGCTTCCTCAGGCTGGAAGTGACACCTGGGTGCTAATAAGATTTTGTCACCTGAATGTAATCAGACTTTGCCACCTTCCTGAAGTTTAAAAGAGGAACCCAGGCGTTTTGGCTTCATGACACCAGGGGGGCCCCGATCTGTCTGGGGAGCTCTAAAGTATATACATAGATCAAAGGAGTATGTTTCATCATAAAAGCTAAAATATTAGTTGCAGAGAGATGAAAATACTTCCTTCTGATTGGGCACTCTGTGGGCTACATCAGCATGCAAAAACTGTATTTGTGGCATATGTAGAATGCCAGAAAAATGCAGGAAATGGTTATGTGGTGCTGGATCGTGATAGCTGAACAGTGATTGGTACTGTCGCGCTCAGACTGATGCGCTGGTGTCGGAAATTCAATCCCTGACTTGGTGATTCAAGACATTCCTGGTCCAATTGACTTTGGGAAGTTCAGCACCCCGAACATCCTGTGGGCGGGTACAGGAACACCCCCCAGAGTCAATTGGCCAAAAACTAATGTCCCTCCTACGTCCATATTCCCATAAATTGAGGACCCGGAGGTATTAACGTGTGATTCGTATGTAACTGGTTCGATCGACTAACGGATTGTGGACTCTCTGACTTGCTCCAGTCGCAGGATAAATCTTGGTACAGTTTTATTTCTGTTTTTTATTCCCTTTTATTTTATAGTGAATAGTCATTTGTGTGTCTTCTTGTATTTTTTGTATTTTATGTAACTTTTTATATTTTGTACATATTTTATGCACTGCCCACTTTCAATATATTAAATCTGTGACTTCTGGGTATTTAAGCACAGGCTCATATCTCCGGAGAGATTAGATTATATTGTATTTTAGTGTCTTCATATGCTCGGTCAAGCTCATTGCCAATCTGTATACAATTGCACTGCATGTTGGCAGATTGTGTGCAGATTGTAAGGGTGGCAGGTCTGCCAGACAGAGATCTGTGTGTGTGTGTGGTGTCCCAACAGACTGTTCTGCGGATAAACTGTTGGGTGGTGGCAAGCTACCATTTGTGGTGTGTCTGGTGTGGGGGTGTGTGGACAGTGGAAGGGTGATTAAACACCGGGGTTCTGGCTTGTAGGATAGCTGGAGGGATCCTAGAAGGGTGTGCGATTGCTAAGCTGCTCCTCAATTCTAATTAGTGCACCAGATTGTATATAAGATTTGTATCTGCCAGTGTGTGGTCAGCCAGCTGGATTGGAGTGGAGTCTCCCTCTGGTGGTGGCCAAGAGGTAGTGCGGGCTGTGCAAGTATATCACGGCCGGTCTTATATACGTTTATATATTCAAAGTTAAGTCCCCCTTATTCCCTCTTACCCCAAGTCACGGCCGCACGTGCGCGCCTCGGTTAGCTAGTCGCTGTGAGCGTGGCATGTAAGGTGAATCTTTTTAGCTGTCTGTAAGGGTTGCATTCTGAACATCACTGTACGGGTGCATTCTTTCCACTAGCCACCAGTGTAAGGAACATTTTTACCACTGACCCCCCAATAAATTGATTTTACTGTGGAGGTCTTTGAGACCTAAATATTATTTTAAGAGTTCCTCCAGGGTACAGAATTTGAGAAAGGCTGGTTTAGCATGTGAGATTAGGCAGTGCTCATGGCAGCAAATTTCTGATTTTTTTTAAATATTTCCTTGCACCTAATTGGGCATCCTTTGCAAAATGATTTTTTTTCCACACTCTTGAAGCTAAGTGAAAATTTCCTTGCAACATGAACTTTCTACATCTTTTAGTAAATTGACCCCAAAGTATATAAATATATAAATACTTAGGCAAATATAAATATTTCATGGACGAACCTATGGGTAAACCATGAAATAAATTTAAAAGTAGATGCATTGTTCATAGAGAAGCTGCTGGAGGGATAGGGGCCCTCTCCCTCTCCCTCCTCCCTGTCTGATCTCCTGCCTTCTCTTTTCTTCCAAATTTGTACCCCCCAATCTATCATCCCCCAACCCATCCTCCCTGGCCATGCCTCCCCCATTCAAGGGGACCAATTATTATTGCATATGTCTAAAAATACGCAGTATATGTGTATTTGTTTTCACACATATATTATTATTATTATTATTACATCGAGTTTATATAGCGCCAAAGGGTTTGCTCAGCGCTGTACAATAGGGGGGACAATACATGGCACAGTACAACAAAAACAGACAGCGTACGAGGGGTAAGAGGGCCCTACTCTTTCAAGCTTACATATGCACACTATATTGCCAAAAGTATTGGGACGCCTGCTTTTACATGCACATAAACTTTAACCTCCCTGGCGGTATGATCATGTCAGGAATTTTGTGCTGAAAGCGGTACCATTTTTTTGCATGGAAATATGTAGTTTTTAATTGTAGGCTGTAATTTTTAGGAATAACTCACTGAAATCTATCCAAAAAAGAGTCTATTAAACATTCCGGATATGATAAAACTTGAAACACGAAATCATAAATTATAATTTAATAAATAATCATAAAAAATAATAATATAATAATAATAAATTTAATTCAATAATATAATCAAACCAAAAACACTGAAATTTGAAATACAGAGGCAAATTCGCACATCGCTGAGCAAAGTCGCAAAATCGTTTTCAGTGTCTGATGACGAATTTCCTCACAAATCATTATCACTCAATTCTGCAAGTGGTTCTGATTTACTATCGCTGTTCTAAAACCGCTTTTGATGTAAAGGGACGCTTTTTGGCCGCCATGGACTTTTCTAAGTTTCCAGGCAGAAAGAACAGTCAAAATGCAGGCAGGGCACTGGACAAAGCAGTGGGGACACAATGTATGTGAAATGCAGTGAAAAAGCAATGACAGCAAAAATGTCATTTTTTAAAAATTTCAAATTTCCCGCCGGTTCCGCCGCCCGAACGTTCCGACGTCACGGGGACCGGAACACGGAAGTCAGATGCCGGCATCCGCCGGAGGAGATGGACGGGGACGCTGCAGGGGACACATCGTGGGAGCGAAGGACAAGGTAAGTGCTGCAGGGACCCCCAGAGAACGCTGCATAGTAAGCCCGAGTGTAGCTCGGGGTTACCGTTCTTGGTATAGAAATTCTACCCCGAGCTACACTCGGGAACACCGCCAAGGAGGTTAATTGCCTCACAGTCTTAGTCCATAGGGTTCAATAGTGAGTTGGCCCATCCTTTGCAGCTATAACAGCTTCAGCTCTTCTGGGACGGCTGTCCACAAGGTTTAACCACTTCCAACCCAGCCAATAGGAAAATGACAGCCGGACGGGACACTAGTCAATTCGGCTGGGTGTCATATGACGTCCTTCCCAGATCACGCCATGCACGTACGTACCGCGAGATCTGTCACCAGCTGTGTACCTCGGCCATGCTGTGGCGATGTGATCTGTGTCACCAGCTGTGTACCTCGTGACACAGACCAATGACAGATCTATGTACAACAGTGGCATACCTGTTGTCATTGTGCCCTATGTTTTTATAATGACCTATGCTGTGACAATATGAGCACTTCCCTGTGTTCCCTGTGAGGAGCAAGGTCACAGGGACAGTTATCTTGTGAAGGGGGAAAACAATGGACTTGCTTGGACCCTCTTTTCATGCCATCCCTATTTGCATACAGAAGGGGTTGATATATGTCACTACGCTGTAGTGTCGGTCACAGTGCATCACTGGATGCCTTTCTTCTCAGACTGGGCCAATTCAAAGCATACCACTCTGTGTGTCATGGGATTAGCCGTGGGCCAATTCCAATCAGCCGTGCCAATCACTGCTAATCACAACAAAAAAAACTGAATTAATTGATTTCACTCAGTTAAATGCTTGCTTATAGCAAATACTGTAAATAATTAGATATAAGCAATCATATTGTGTTAAAAAAATAAAAATACTGATCACTTCCCAAAGTAGTACAATGTTACTATGGTAACATTGTACTACTTTGGTCATAGTGTAATATGAAAAGAAAATCGTAACAAAAATAGAGAAAAAAATTTAATAATAATAATAATAATAAAATAAAAAAATAAAAAAAAAAGAATATTTTTTTTTGTACTGTCACCAGTGTCCCTGATCACTGCCACCCCAGTTATATGATGACACTGTACTGCACTGGTGACAGTATGTAAAATAAAAATTGTGATTTTTTTTCCAAAAAATTATGACAAAAAAATTACAACTTCAAAAAACTCTCCATGACTCTTATGAAATACGGCAGACTGTCTACTTTGCAAAAAGGGGTCATTTGGGGGATTTCTATACTGTTCTGACATTTTTCGGCTTCAAGAAATTAGATCGGCTGTCAGTACTTCAGAACTGATCAATTTTCAGATATACAGTATCCCATAGTTTGTGAACTCTATAACTTTCCTACAGACTAAATTTGCAACATTTTATAAAAATAAATAAAAAAACCCAATGGTGATTAAATGCCACCAAAAGAAAGCTCTAGTTGTGTGAACAAAATTATAAAAATTCAGTTTGGGTACAGTGTTGCATGACAGCGCAATTGTCATTCAAAGTGTGAGAGCGCTGAAACCAGAAAATTGGCCTTGGCAGGAGGGAGGTAAAAGTGCCCAATATTGAAGTGGTTAAGAGTGTGTCTATGGGAATGTTTGACCATCCTTCCAAAGGTGCATTTGTGAGGTCAGGCACTGATGTCAGACAAGAAGGCCTGGCTTGCAGTTTTTGCTCTAATTCATCCCAAAGGTGTTCTATCGAGTTGAGGACAGGACTCTGCATAGGCCAGTCAAGTTCCTCCACCCCAACTTTCTCATCCATGTCTTTATGGACCTTGCTTTGTGCACTGGTGTGCAGTCATGTGCACTGTGCCCACAAAGTTGGGAGCATGAAATTGTCCAAAATGTCTTGATATGCTGACACCTTAAGAGTTCCCTTCACTGGAACTAAGGGGCCAAGCCCAACCCCTGAAAAACAACCCCACACCATAATCCCCCTCCACCAAACTTTACACTTGGCAAAAATGCTGTCGTCTGACTGTTCTCCTGGCAACCACCAAACTCAAACCCAGCCACGTCCATCGGATTGCCAGACAGAGAAGCGTGATTGGTCACTCCAGAGAACATGTTTCCACTGCTCTAGAGTCCAGTGGTGATGTGCTTTATACCACTGTATCTGACACTTTGCATTGCACTTGGTGGTGTAAGGCTTGGATGCAGCTGCTTGGCCATGGAAACCCATTCCATGAAGCTCTCTACGCACTCTTGTTGTGCTAATCTGAAGGCCACACAAAGTTTGGAGGTCTTTAGCTATTGACTCTGCAGACAGTTGATTACTTCTGCACACTGTGCGCTTTAGCATGCGCTGACCTGGCTCTGTCATTTTACATGGCCTACCACTTTGTGGCTGAGTTGCTGTTGTTCCCAGTTGCTTCCACTTTGCTATAATACCACTAACAATTGACCATGGAATATTTAGTAGCAAGAAAATTTCATGGATGGACTTATTGTACAGGTGGCAACCTATCATGGTACCACGCTTGAATGCACAGAGCTCCTCAGGCTGACCCATTCTTTCACAAATGTTTGTAGAAGTAGTCTGCATGCCTAGGTGCTTGATTTCATACACCTGGAGCCATGGAGGTGATTGAAACACCTGAATCTAATGATTTGGAGGGCTGGCCCAATACTCTTGACAATATAGTATACATATATATATATATATATATATATATATATATATATAAAACTCAATTATGTATCTCCCTACCATAAAAATCCTCCCATTCTCATATATTTACATTTTGCAAAAATATCTAGAAAATACGACCATAACTGGGCCTGAATAAAGCCTATGTGGAGACTTAATGACAACATTTTCTCAGATGACTTTACTATTAGTCAGTATTTCATTTGTGATAGACATGGTTGGCTATATTTACTAAACTGGAGCCCTCAGCATCTGGTGCAGCTACGCATGGTAGCCAATCAGCTTCTAACTTCAGCTTGTTCAATTCTATACAGAGCTGCAACAGCTTTTTCACCCTCTTGTTTTAGTAAATAACTCCCTATGATTGCATTTTGTCTATGCCTGTCTGATGTATTTGTTTCCATGCAACTTAATGGGGTTGATTTACTACAACTACAAAATTTGGTGCAGCTCTGCATAGAAATAAATCAGCTCCCATTTTTTTTTCAAAGTTTAATTGAACAAGCTGAAGTTAAAAACTGATTGGCTACCATGCCAAATTAACTCCATATTCTATGAATGCTACTCTTATCACTGTGGCCAATATGAGTGCAGAAATAAAAAAAATAGAAATAAATAAAAGTAGATGGAAGTACTCGAACAAGAATGTTAATGGAAGGATCACGGAGTATTAATAAACAGATAAAGATTTAAAAATAATGAAACTTACTTGAAATTTTATTAAAGCTTATGCTTAAGCTTACCTATGTATAAAATATTCATACCTAGAATTCATCTTTAAAACTGGATATTGAGATTCTTGAATAAGTCGAATTGTGACTGGGTTTCTAACAAGAATAACATTTTTCAAAAAAAATATTTTCAGAATCTACAAAGCAGCAGGTGATCAGTCCAGGCTTTTTGTTTCCTGGGGGTTCTCAAGACTCCAGCAGTGCTAATAAGCCATATCTGGTATAAATACTAGCTGACTTATCTGGAATGACTGTATAGTAGATTATATATGTGAAGATGTACCCCCCACTGTACATTATTACATCCAGCCCTCTGGATACTTCAGTAATGCTGAGACTAAATTTGCCATGACCATATCTCCCCATGCGTCTTCTGTTATAGCAAGTAAGCTTCATTTGCGCATTCCAGCAGGACAGACAAATGTGACTGTACATTGCAAATTAGTTTCTGAATGTATCATACAGCTGCTTCTTCTGTCAGAGCTAACCTGAAAGACTAGTATAATCCTCAAAGAAAGAGCAAGCTGTAGTCTCTGACCATTTATTATAATTTAATACTGCTAGCACAATGTGGGCTAATTTATTAAGACAAAACACAATATGTCAAAACCAGTGACTAACAGCAGCCAATCAGAAATCACATTTTATTGTCTCAACTATTTCAAACTGATGGAGGGTGAAATATGGTTGCTGTAATATTGTACATTTTTATTAACAGGCCAAAGCCCATTTTTCAGAACATAGACATAGTTACAACAACACTTTAGCTGTAAACATTGCAATGAAAGAAAACCACCATCAGTATAAAAGAAAACACAAACAGAAGAAATCTAACATAATTAGACAGCATGGTAATCTGCACAATACAAAGGCACAAATCAACATAAGCCTGCACATCACTGGGTTACATTATTTGTCAAAAGCACGGTACATAAGGAGGTGTCTGGACTATATAAGGGGGGGGGTGGGGGTGGGGGAGAGGAAGGAAGTCTACCAAAGGGAGAATTATCCCATAGTTCACAAATAGAGCAAAAGTGACCCCACTAGAGCTGTAAGATATTCCATTTCCCTTGATTTCAAATATCGCTCTTAAGAAATGATTTATCATGGGAACATCAGCTGATTTCCAGAGTTGTGGTATCACCCATCTAGAAGCCGTCAGAATATGTATTCCCAACCTCTTAGACTGCTTAGAGATACCCCTAAAGGGTAGCCCTAAAAGATAGTGCAGCGGGTCTAGGGGTAGGGTAACATTGAGTACTTGTTCCAAGACCATTTTAACCATAGCCAATAACCCGCAATCTGTGGACAGAACCAAAAGATGTGTGCCAGGGTGCCTACTCCTCCCATGCACCTCCAGCACTTGTCAGACAGATTTGGGTTGATCGCATGAAGCACTACAGGGGTCTTGTACCAATGCATCAATATTTTAAGTAAGTTTTCTTTATACACAACACAGCGAGAAGTCTTAGCAACAGATTCCCAAATCACCTGCCAACATTTCAAAGAGATTGAGCATTGCTCTAGTATTTTATTTAGGAAGCTGTGCTGTTTTTTTCTAGGTTAATAATCCCCTGACAATAATAAAAAACAAAAAAAAGAATACATGTTAGATGATGCAGAATACTGCTTTCTTTTCAATCCTTGTTTTTTTGTTTCTTGCCAATCTAGCCCTGAGATTAACAAGACCCCATAACAGCCCAGCGAGGTTCATGACACCATCTACATATTTACCTTTACAGTACAATGGTGTCCTCTATCCAACCCCAGACTTTTGACTGGAGAGCAAAAGAGCTGCAACAGACTGATAAGCTCATCTCTCTGCTCACTTCCACCATCAACATGTTCCCATGTGCTGTATAGCGGATTGTAGAAACACTTAATGTTGGGTATTTACTATGCATTAGTTGCATTCAAAAATGCATTTAATGTAACCATATAAAAAATCCTACCTGCAGCATCTTCTGAAAAAATCTAGATTCCTCTCTGGCAGGAGGTGGGCCATATCTTCCACAGTTTATTGGTGCACTATTTGTGGGTGTGTCAGATAATGAATATAAAGCTAGCAAAATCAATTTCCTCATCCACACTAAACAGCATAAATGAAAAAATCTCTACTGCCAGCTTTTGTATTAGGCAGCCAAGGCATTCATGACAGCCGTGGCAGTCAATACAATAATTTTGATGAATAGTGACTATATCTGATAGGATGCAGTCACTGCTTAACTGATAATATTCCATCCAACTCATTAGATTTGTTTGATTAAATCAACTTTGTCAAGCCACCTAGTGTTTGCAGGGCCACCCATGGCTCCAATTTAAGCTGACCCAGCAGGAATTCGTTGAAATTCATGCCGCCTATTGCCAGCTAAAATGTGGAAGAAAACAAAAGTCTGTGATGCCATTCTTCAAGGAGGTAATTACCCAAATTATTTCACAGGATGCTATAGACTGGATTATTTTATACCGTATGACAGGGTCTCTTTTTTGTTTTTATGGATGAATTCATAGCTGTATTAATTTGTGCCTGTATCTATCTGGAATTCAGCTTTAAAGTGGAACTCCAGAAATGATCTTTTTTACAAGCTTACAGTCCATCCTGGCTTTATGTAAGAATCCATATCTGATACACTATACTGCCAAAAGTATTGGGACGCCCCGCCTTTACACACACATGAAGTTTAATGGCATCCCAGTCCTAGTCTGTAGGGTTCAATATTTAGTTGGCCCACCCTTTGCAGCTATAACAGCATCAACTCTTCTGGGAAGTCTGTCCACAAGGTTTGGGAGGGTGTCTATGGGAATGTTTGACCATCCTTCCAAAAGCGCATTTGTGACGTCAGGCACTGATGTCGCACAAGAAAGCCTGGCTCACAATCTTTGCTCTAATTCATCCCAAAGGTGTTCTATTGGGTTGAGGTCAGGACTCTGTGCAGGCCAGTCAAGTTCCTCCACCCCAAACTCGCTCATCCATGTCTTTATGGACCTTGCTTTGTGCACTGGTGCGCAGTCATGTTGGAACAGGAAGGGGCCATCCCCAAACTGTTCCCACAAAGTTGGGAGCATGAAATTGTCCAAAAATGTCTTGGTATGCTGGCACCTTAAGAGTTCCCTTCACTGGAACTAAGGGGCCAAGCCCAACCCCTGAAGAACAACCCCACACTATAATCCCACCTCCACCAAACTACACTTGACACAATGCAGCCAGACAGGTACCGTTCTCCTGGCAACCGCCAAACCCAGACACATCCATCAGATTGGCAGACAGAGAAGCATGGTTCGTCACTCCAGAGAACACATCTCCAGTCCAGTGGTGGCCTGCTTTACACCACTGCACCCAACACTTTGCATTACACTTAGTGATGTAAGGCTTGGATGCAGCTGCTTGGCCATGGAAACCCATTCCATGAAGCTCTCTATGCACTGTTGTGCTAATATGAAGGTCACATGAAGTTTGGAGGAATTTAGCTACTGACTCTGCAGACAGTTGGCGACTTCTGCACACTGTGCGCTTCAGCATGCACTGACCCCGCTCTGTCATTTTACGTGGCCTACCACTTTGTGGCTGAGTTGCTGTTGTTCCCAGTTGCTTCCACTTTGTTATAATACCACCAACAGTTGACCATGGAATATTTAGTAGCACGGAAATTTCACGGATGGACTTGCACAGGTGGCAACCTATCATGGTACCATGCTTGAATTCACTGAGCTCCTCAGGGTGACCCATTCTTTCACAAATGTTTGTAGAAGCAGTCTGGATGTCTAGGTGCTTGATTTTATACATCTGTGGTTCATTGAGGTGATTGGAACACCTGAATTCAATGATTTGGAGGGGTGTCCCAATACTTTTGGCAATAATGTACCTGGAGGGCTGCTGGGGATGCTTAAAATCATTGTATGTTTAGTTTAGTTACATCACACTCCTTTGTTTATGATCTACTGTATACCTTGTCCGGAGGCTCTGCTCTCTCTCATACCGATATGCTGCGGTATGAGACAGAGACATTCATACCCCCCCCCCCCCACCACTTCTCAGTTCTTATTACAACAAACATTAGCTCCTGGTCCTCTGAGACGATAAGGCTCTTATTGGTCAGCCACTTTATATTCAGTTATGCTGACTGATACCATTTATAATTTTTGTAGACTAGGTCAAATCTCCTACGTATGTCTATGCTTGATATGTATAATTTGCATGTTTTTCTTTTCTCAGCTTTGTTGTACTATGCAAAATTTGAATAAAGATTAAAAAAAAAATACATATATACAGTTGTGTTCAAAATAATAGCAGTGTGTTGAACAAAGTGAATAAAGCTCAAAATCCTTCTAATAGCTTTTATTTCCATACACACAAATGCATTGGGAACACTACACATTCTATTCTAAATCAAAAGATGAAGAAAAATATATCAAATTTGTGTTGTTTCTCTAAAAAAATTGAAGAAAAGTGAATATTAGACTGTTCAAAAAAAATAGCAGTGTTTGTATTCTTCTTTACAAACTCAAAATTCACTATATAAACTGAAAAATGTTTGAAGATTTTGCTTTCCTTTGAATCACTTAATGAATATTTAGTTGTATAAGCACTGTTTCTGAGAACTGCTGTACATCTGTGTTGCATGGAGTCAACCAACTTCTGGCACCTGTGAACAGGTATTCCAGCCCAGGATGATTGGACTACATTCCACAGTTCTTCTCTATTTCTTGGTTTTGCCTCAGAAACTTCATTTTTGAAGTCACCCCACAAGTTTTCTATTGGATTAAGATCGGGGATTGGGCTGGCCACTCCATAACGTCAATCTTGTTGGTCTGGAACCAAGGTGTTGCACGTTTACTGGTGTGTTTTCTGTCGTTGTCTTGTTGGAACACCCATTTCAAGGGCATTTCCTCTTCAGCATAAGGCAGCATGACCTCTTCAAGTATTCTGATGTATTCAAACTGATCCATGATCCCTGGTATGCGATATATAGGCCCAACACCGTAGTATGAGAAACATCCCCATATCATGATGCTTGCGCAACCATGCTTCACTGTCTTCAGAGTGTACTGTGGCTTGAATTCAGTGTTTGGGGGTCGTCTGACACAAACTGTCTCCGGCCACTAGACCCAAAAAGAACAATCTTACTTTCATCAGTCCACAAAATGTTGCGCCATTTCTCTTTAGGCCAGTCAATGTGCTCTTTGGCAAATTGTAACCTCTTCAGCACATGTCTTTTTTTCAACAGTGGGACTTTGCGGGGGCTTCTTGCAGATAGCTTGGCTTCACATAGGCGTCTTCTAATTGTAACAATACTCACAGGTAACTTTACACCTTCTTTGATCTTCCTGTAGCTAATTGTTGGCTGAGTCCTTGCCATTTTGGCTATTCTTCTATCCATTCGAATGGTACTCTTTCGCTTTCTTCCACGTCTTTCAGGTTTTGGTTGCCATTTTAAAGCATTTGCGATCATTTTAGCTGAGCAGCCTATCATTTTCTGCACTTCTTTATATGTTCTCCCCTCTCCAATCAACTTTTTAATCAAGGTACGCTGTTCTTCTGAACAATGTCTGGAATGACCCATTTTCCTCAGAATTTCAGAGAGAAATGCACTGAAACCAGCATGTACAACATTTAATGCCTTCCTTCCTTAAATAAGGGCAATAATTGCCATCTGTTTTTCAAAGAATGAATAACCTCACTAACAGAACTCCACACTGCTATTATTTTGAACATGCCCCTTTCAATTAATGATTCAATTACACAGAATCAGCAGCATGCATGTCATGACTGTTGGGTCTGTTGGATTTCTATTACTCTACTACACCTGCTAGTAAATTATTTGCCATGTAGAAATATCATTTCTACCAAAAACAGTGATTGATCAGGTTAGTGATGTCTGACTGCTATTATTTTGAACACAACTGTATATGTATATATATATATATATATATATATATTGTATATATAAAATCTACATACAGATACTATATATATATATATATATATATATGTATTATTATTTTTCTGTGTGTTTGATGTACCTTGTAAAAGTTCCAAGGACAGCTAAATATTGTTTTTTTTGAGGTGGATTATAGGGGGTGGAGGTGCATCATTCTATAAATAGGTTGTACTTTTTAAAGGGACCACTTTCCAATGCTCATTTATGGAGTGTCTCCAGACATTTTGGCTTGGGCTGATTAGATCCTGGAAATGATTAGCTGATGTAACAGAGCAAGGAGAAGGGGTCTGGAAGAAAGCAGGTGTGTGGGAAAGAGATCAAAACAGAGCTGCTGCTGCTGCTGCTGCTGCTGGTTGAACATATCCCTGCCATAGCTGACCACAATCCAGAAAGAACTCAGAGAAGCAAAGAGACTGAGTACCTCTCCCTGGGAGGGTGTGATTTGGATGCTTGGTAAGATCAGACTGTAATAGAGAGAGCTCTATAAGGAAAGAAAAGAGAGACTATATTAGCAGAGTTGAAAGGGAGAGATCACAGCAACTTGTCTGACTTTAACTTAACTTTTACTGAATCAGAGCATGCGTCTGGTGACCAAAGAAAAGGGTGGTCTGGGTCTTGTAAGAGACTAACATTATTCAAGTTATTCTATTGTCTGCTGGGAACTGTTGAGCTTTCTTCAAGGTCCCAAATTTTGCCTGCCAGTTTTTTTTTTTTTTGCTTCATCATTCATAGGGGACTGGTATAGCACGTTAGGACTGTCTTTATATACTGTTACTAGGTAAAAGCAGTTCAGCTCTGTTAATTACAGAATACTGAAGGTCTTTAACCATATCTCTCAGAGTAATATTGTTGTCTAGTGGATTGTTTGTATAAATACGATTGCCAAATCTTTCTTCTTTTAGGCTGCGCTTGGCCTAATAATTTTTTTAAAATACCTCAAGGTGTGCCGGTAAGTGCTGGGTTAGTGAGTTGTGTCATCTTTAGGTATGCAGAAACAAATCAGCAGCTCCTCTGGGGGTAGTGTTACACAGCCAATTGATTACAGTAAGAATGTGCAATATACACACCAACTTAAAAATGAAGCAGGTTTATCCAATGTGCAGTAAAATCACATCTACAGCTACAAAAAATGTAGAAACAACTTTTCATTTTTATCTTTGCCCTTTTAATGCTGAGTCTCCAGTAAAAAAAATGTAAAGATTTGACTTTTACACAGCGCTGTGCCTGGAGATGACTATTTGATATGGATGAACCTGAAATCATTAAGTATTCCATTGTAACATTAATCTAGACATCGAAAGACTTGGCAGAACAAACCACTAATTAGCTAACTGCTGCAGCGCTCTTTTTTTGGGGGGGGTCTCACTACTAGCCAGGAGGCTAGAGAACTTTTGTTGTTTATTGGACTGTTCCTACTTACCCCCCCTGGGAGAAGACCCCTTTATTCTTGGTTTCTGAAATGCTGATGAACAAACATGGGCGAGGAACCCTTAAATTTGCCATGGATTTTGGATTACCTCTGTGAGTTCTCCCGCAAGACCTACGTATGAGCCTGCTCCAAAGAAACAACCAAAAAGGTGTTATCGACCTAAAATTGCCTACAACATCTGATGCTGCAAATTCTGCAGACGATGGTGGCTCGGAGCCATTAAGAGGAACGAATGAGGAGGAGAAAATCAGGAGGAGAAAAGCAGGTGATTTCTGGCAGATCAAGGAGGGATTAATCCTTGCAGGGATATCCAGCTAACAAGGGGCTAACCGTGTTATCCATAGGAAAGACCACATATCCATGGTATACTACAACTATTCTAGCAGGTTCCAGGTTGTGTGAACCACAAGCGTGTGTAGCCTACTTTTTAGGCATAGAAGGAGGTGAGCGCACAATTTTACTGGTTGGAGGATCACGGAAAGTCACTATTTGATGATTTATAAGTCACTACGTCCCGATTATTGGATCACTTATTGATTGATGGGACTATATTTTTTTAGAGCAAAATAATAACCACAATGTTTTTGGAATTTTTTATTTTTTATTTATTCAGATCATGTCACTATAATTGTTTCATTTATAAAAGAATTGTTTGATTATGGTATGTGTTTATCACAAATTATAAGTATGTATTAATTTATTTTTTAGGGAACGCTACATTTATAAATGTAACTTTTCATTTTTATCTTTGCCCTTTTAATGCTGAGTCTCCAGTAAAAAAATGTAAAGATTTGACTTTTACACAGTGCTGTGCCTGGAGACTGGATATGACTATTTGATATGGATGAACCTGAAATCATTAAGTATTCCATTGTAACATTAATCTAGACATCGAAAGACTTGGCAGAACAAACCACTAATTAGCTAACTGCTGCAGCGCTCTTTTTTTTTTTTTTGGTGACAGACTGCTTTTAAAGGCACTAACAAGACATTTTATAAAGCCTAAAGCACTGCTACTGGATTATACTAATTGTTTTCCCAGCAATCTGGCCGGGGTGCCTGAACAGTTGGTATATATTCTATAGACCTTGTTTATCAAAGTTTTTTAAAGAACCATTGTCAATGCTGCCATAGCAACCAAATTCAAACTGCCATTCTGTAACACAGGTTTCAAAAGGAATACAAAAACATTACTGGCTGTCATGGACAACATAGACAGCCCTTTAGATGTGCAGCCTAGTGGGTTTTAGTTTCATGGCCAATGAGTCCATACATGAGAGAGTCTATTCTTTTTATATTACTGTTACAGAGATATCAGCCTAAAGCAGTGGTCTCAAAAATGTGGCCCATGGGTCAGATGCAGCTTTTTTCTTGCCTTTATCTAACCTTAGG